ACTATAAATTAGGCTTTGCGCGCCGCAGCCCGGGAGAGTCAGAAAGGCGAGGGGCGCCAGAAGCAGGCGTGTGGGACTCCAGAGCGGAGAGCCGGAGGCCGCGCCTTCCCCGCACCAGGACCTTCGCGACGCACCACGTCCTCGCCCCTGCCCCGTGCGAGCGCCCACGATGACCACCACCCTCGTGTCTGCCACCATCTTCGACTTGAGCGAAGTTTTATGCAAGGTAAAGTGAGGCGGAGTGTTTGATTTTCTAAAAGTCCTTTTCTTTTGCTTAGAAAAAGAACCATCTAAAAGTTTGGGTCTTGGAAAGCAGAAGATAAGCGGAGAGTGAAGGTAGATGATTGTTTTCTCCCCCACTTTCCGCCCAGTTTGAAGGAATTTGGTCCTGTCCTCCGCACCCTTGGAGTTTCCACAGCTCCTGACGGATTTTCGTGTGAATCTGGGGAGCAGAGTTTTGGGGGGCGAGGTCTGCCAGGCGGGGCTGCCCGGTAGAGTGGTTAGGAGTGTGGGGCGAGTTTGGGGGGACTTTTTCGTACTTCATATGCTGCTTGAGCTAGGGTTCGCTGGTCTCCTCGGTCCTCCCGTGTGCGTCCTGGCAGTGTGTGCGCCTGGGTTCGAGTCTGCCCAGCACCATTATGGGCCTGAGGGGCTGGTGTTTGGGGGGAGTCTCTCAAGGAAACCAGTCCCGGGACCGTGTCACGCAGGCGGATTTCTTCCTGTTTTGGGGGAGCCGGCGATTTGCGAGGAGGAAAAAGTTCGAGGGTTGTGATTCAGAAAGAAGTCGCGGTGAGAGCTTGCAGTGGGGCTGGTTGGTGTCCGCCTCGTCCCGGTTGCCTTCCTCCAGGGTGACCGGCAGCGCCGTGAACTTTATAGGTCGAAGTGGGCTGACCAACTTACCTGTGTTGGAAGGCGCGGTGGCTCATCGCTTGGGGGACAGGGGTCAAATGTGTTCGGAACTCCAGAATCCCCGCCTGTAAGTGTTTAATGGAGGCCTCTGTAGGCCGGATAGCTCGCCAGCCAGTGTCGAAAAAACAAGTTTAAACCCAGAATGTTCTAGGAGTGCATTTTTAAACCCGGAAGGTTCTAGGGGAGCGTTTGAAATGTACATAACAAAAGCCTATGGATGTTAAATGTTTTCCCTTTCCTGCCCCCCCCCCCCGCTTTGAAAGGCTGAAGCTGCTAGGCTACTTTTAATTGCTGAAGTGTTTTTTCTTCTCTTAAACACGTCGGGTCATGTTGCTCTCTTCCCAGCTTGCTTCCCATGTCGGAACAGCTTGCCAAGGCCCCAGGGCTGCAGGGTTGGGGTGCAGGGACGCGCAGAAGCTGAAGAGCAACATCAAAAAGTTTGACTTTTTCAGCCTCCTTCCCTCCTTTAAACTTTCTCTAGCTCTACTAGCCCGCGCAGCCGAGCAGCTCCCTCTCCTTTTCCTCCTCTGTCCTGCTCTCCCGCTCTTTGATCTATTTCTTTCTACCCTCCCTCCCCCGCAGGACTTTTTAAAATGAACCTCATTGTTGGGAACCGGCTCTCCACTGGGTTCCTGTAATCTCCTCAGTGGGGTGGTTGTGGTTACAGATTCTCGATCCCCTGCTGCAGATCCTAAGGGACCAACTTTAGAATTTTTACAATGACACCCACTTGGGCCAAGAGCCAACTTCTAGGTCCCTTACTCGTGCCCATTCCGAATCCTAGGTACACTTTGGGCAGGTGACTCGGTCCCTTTGGAACAGAACCCTGCCTCTGATGACGCTGCACCCCCCACCCCAGTCTACTGTTGACTGCTAAGTGGGGGGACGGTGTAGGTCGTCACTTTCCTTTCCTTCCCATCTGCAGCTTTGCGTTCGAGATTAAACACTGGTGATCTTATCCAAGTCGCTCTTGCAGCCAGGAGATGAGTCCAAAAGCATCTTCCCAGTGAATGGGGTGGGAAATGGGAAAGGCTGCCCGGGGCACCCCTCGGAGGAGCATGGGTCAAGAGTGTTTTAGGAACCACGTAGGAGTCCCCAACTCCAGACCAGGCCCTCCTCCCAGCAAGAAAAAAACAGGCAGCCTGTTGCTGAAGGAACGGAACTCTTCTGGAGGAGGAAGTTGAGAATCTTGGGCCAGGTCGTGGGGGAGGGGGTTACCAATTGATCAGAGACCAAGAGGGGGCTTGGCAGTTGTTTTGTCTTCTCTCTGGGGTTTACCCATTTTTGTGACGGGGAAGGAAATCCAGAGAGTCTGCCTTGTGTGAGGTATTTTGAATTGAATCTATTTGGCAGGTAAAGAAGTTACATTTTATGGATAAAAATGGTAGCTTGGGAGACAGAGGATACTGAGGTGCATTTCAGGGGTCAGTGCAGAGCAGGATGAATATATAATTTGTCGCCCTGGCCAGGATTTAGTGGTTTCTTGTGCATGGGGCCAAAATAAACCCCAGGTGGCTGGTGTGTGGCAGAGAGAGAGAGAGAGAGAGAGAGAGAGAGAGAGAGAGAAAGGGGGGGGGGACAGAGGGGGGGGGGGGTCAGAGAGAGAGAGAGAGAGAGAGAAAGAGAGAGAGAGAGAGAGAGAGAGAAAGGGGGCTGGAACAGAGGTGGAGGCGGTTCCTTAAAGAGTCTGGGCATTTCTCACTGCGGAGGGCTCTGTCATTCCCAGGCACCCTTCTCTGTCCTGGTGGGTGTCATCTGTCGGTAACCTTGCTTTCTCTTCTCTGTCTTCCCTCCAGGGTAACAAGATGCTCAATTACAGTACTCCCAACACCGGGGGCTGCCTGCTGGACAGGAAGGCAGTGGGTACTCCTGCCGGAGGGGGCTTCCCTCGCAGGCACTCGGTCACCCTGCCCAGTTCCAAGTTCCACCAGAACCAGCTCCTCAGCAGCCTCAAGGGGGAGCCGGCCCCGGCTCTGAGCTCTCGGGACAGCCGCTTCCGAGACCGCTCTTTCTCTGAAGGGGGCGAGCGGCTGCTGCCCACCCAGAAACAACCTGGGAGTGGCCAAGTCAACTCCAGCCGCTACAAGACGGAGCTGTGCCGCCCCTTCGAGGAAAATGGTGCCTGTAAGTACGGGGACAAGTGCCAGTTCGCACACGGCATCCACGAGCTCCGCAGCCTGACCCGCCACCCCAAGTACAAGACGGAGCTGTGCCGCACCTTCCACACCATTGGCTTTTGCCCCTACGGGCCCCGCTGCCACTTCATCCACAACGCCGAGGAGCGCCGCGCCCTGGCCGGGGCCCGGGACCTCTCTGCCGACCGTCCCCGTCTCCAGCATAGCTTTAGCTTTGCTGGGTTTCCCAGCGCCGCTGCCACCGCCGCTGCCACAGGGCTGCTGGACAGCCCCACGTCCATCACCCCACCCCCCATCCTGAGCGCCGATGACCTCCTGGGCTCACCTACCCTGCCAGATGGCTCCAATAACCCCTTTGCCTTCTCCAGCCAGGAGCTGGCGACCCTCTTTGCTCCTAGCATGGGGCTGCCCGGGGGTGGCTCCCCAACCACCTTCCTTTTCCGGCCCATGTCCGAGTCCCCTCACATGTTTGACTCTCCCCCCAGCCCTCAGGATTCTCTCTCGGACCAGGAGGGCTACCTGAGCAGCTCCAGCAGCAGCCACAGTGGCTCAGACTCCCCTACCTTGGACAACTCAAGACGCCTGCCCATTTTCAGCAGACTTTCCATCTCAGATGACTAAGCCAGCGTAGGGAGGGACCCCCTGCTTCCTTCACTCCCTCACCACCCCACACCTGTATCCTTAACCTCCCTACCCACCCCATTCCCCTTGACCCCTACACTAACAAGGTTAAGCTCGAATGCCTTCCCCTGAACCTTGGAATGTCCCCTCCCTATTTTCCCCCCATATCCCCTAACACAAGGACAAGTCAATTTGTCAGTAGCTTCTTCTGGCTTGAAACCCCCTCCCTCTATTTTATAGCCCACTTACCACGATTAACAGACAAGTCCCATATTTGTCAGTAGATGCCTTTTTTCTGGCTTACGCCTTAAGTGCCAAATCACAAAAGAAAAAGCAGTAACAGTTTACAGAAGCAACTTAGTGCCTTGTAATCTAATTTTGTCACTGTGACTACATTACCTCTTCAGCGCCAGGGGGCACCCGTGGGCCTCCTGGGGCCTCCGCCCACGGTGGGGGGGGGCACCCAAACCAGCAGCTCCCTCCACTGGCGACATGACTGCACCTTCCCTTATTTCTCCCGCACACTTTCCTGTCTTCCCAGTAGAGAGTCGTCCCCCCGCCCCCGCCCCATTTGGAGAGTTGGGTTTTTGGGGAAAGCTGTCTTGACATTCAAAACCTTTTTCTTCCCAACCTGAACCCCCGTTGACTAATCTTGCCTGGGTTTGTAGGTCTGCAGGAAGGAAGGCTGGAAAAGTGGACAAAGATTTTGATATAAGTGGGACTTTGTGATTTTTTTTTTCTTTTTCTTTTTCTTTTTTTTTTTTTTTTTTAAGTGGGGAGGAAGGGGAGGCTAGATGGACTACGAGAGACTTGATTTTGGTGCTAAAGTTCCCCAGTTCATATGTGACATCTTTTAAAAATGACAAAAAAGAGAAAAGCTAAAAAAAAAAAAAATGTAAGGGGTGAGCAGTTAATGGTATTCATTCCACATACAATATCTGTGTAAAACGATTTCCTGTAGAAGTAGCTTTAATGGTTTTGCTCTAGAATACCGTAGGTCCTACCCTTAGAGCACTCACGCCATGCTTTTTTCCTTGGGTTTTAAACTTCATATAACTTTCAGAAATTGGAGAGCAAAAATTTTGCTTGTCACTGCACATCAATATAAAAAAGCTTATTTAACTTATCAAAACGTATTTATTGCCAAACTATGCTTTTTTGTTAATTTTGTTCATATTTATCGGGATGACAAATCCATAGAATATATTCTTTTATGTTAAATTATGATCTTCATATTAATCTTAAAATTTTGTGACGTGTCTTTTCCTTTTTTTTCCCACAGTTTTAATATATTATTCTTCAACAACATTTTTTGTAACTTTACACTTTTTTTGGTTATTTTATTTTAAAAAAATGAAAAATTAATTTAAAAAAATGCAAAAAACTGTTGGATTATTTATTTTAGAAATTCCCCCCTTTGTGTTGGACTGCAAATTGAGTTTCTTTCTCTTAGGCTTTTCACAGCTAGGACTGAGAATGTATGTAGAAGTCCTGTGACAGTACAGAAGGAAAACAACTTTTTATGTATAGCTTCTAAAAGGGAAAAAAAAAAACAAAAAAACAGAGAGAAACCCTTTGACTTCCACGTGCCCATCTGAAGACATTCCACTCCCAGATTTGAGGTTCTGGATTCCAGGTTTGGAATTTTCCAATGTTAGTATAAACAACTGGCACGCAGACACATTAAGATGAATGTAATTATTATTCCTCTTGCTGGTCACTACCGTCGCTTTCTATTTCTTTCTTTGTGTGAATTTATTTAAAAGAAGAAAACTTTTTGTAACGACTATTTGCAGTTTAAAAATCAATAAACCCCGTTTTTCAAGAAACACTGGTGGTGGTGGGTTTTATTTGGTTCATGGACTGACTACCTGTAGATTTTACCCTGGAAAACCCTGTACTGGTGGGAGGGGCTAGTTGGTCTTCTCAGCCACTATAGCTAAATGTATAGCTCCCTTCCTTGATGCTGGACCTTGGCTGCTTACCAAGGAGCTGCTTTGCTTAGGAGCCTGTCCTTCCTGCTGGATCACTTTGGAGAAGACCGCCCAGTGTGGTAATTATTGAAAGGGTAGCAGAGGCTGGCCTTTCCCAGCTAGGTAGCCTCAGAGGTTAGGGCCATCCCCTTCCCAGCCTGTGGTATTCATCCCTTTGGGTGACGTTTGGGGTGCCGAAATAACATGGCACACCCGCAGGCTTGGTTTGGAGTGATTTTTTTTTTGTACTGGGGATCGAACTCTGGACCTTGCGCTTGTGAGGCAGGGGGTGGCACCACTGAGCCAAATCCCTGGCCCTTAGAGTGAATTCTTAGATGCTTAGGCTCCTATTTCTATCAGGTCCAAGTCTCAACACCTGCTTTAGTAGATGAGGAAACCTTGTCTGTCTGGAGAGGGTGGTGTGGGCTTTAATCACATGCCTGGGTTCAGCTTGCTTCTGTGTTTGGAGGGCCATTGAGGGGAGATGGGTATTAACACTGACTAACAAGTCACTTGGGCCTAGTTACACCTCTGATACCATGCAAAGTCGATGGTTGGGACCACCTTGGCACCCCAGCTAGGGCCAGCTGACCACTAAGTAGAGTTTCACCTGCAAGACAACGGTTGGGTTTTTCCTTGGTGAAAGTGGTGGAGGGTGAAAGTTGAGCTGATTTCCTGCCTTGATTCTGCCAGGCCTTTCACAAAGGCGGTCAGGTCTATAGCAGATACTGTCCAGGCCGGGGCTGTCCTACCTGTACCTTCTGGATTCTTTCCTGCCCAGCAGGTACTACAGGGGGGGCCTATTTTCTGTTCCAGTGTAGGGGCTAGTGGTGCAGGAGCGGGGGAAGCAGGCCTTCCCAGAAGCAGAGTCTATCTACACTTGTACTGGATGGGTAGTGGTGGTGGTATGTGACCTTCCCTTCTGATTAAAAGCAAAAGCAGACATCAGTTCACCTTGAGCTCATTCCCTGCAGGTATATGGGAGCATGTAGTGCTCATCTATTTCTCCCTCGCGTGGTGACAGTGATTGAGTTCAGAGGGGTCTAAGCCTACCTTCCAGCCAATCCTGAATTTCCTCCCTGGAGTTAGATAACAAAGATAAGAGACATTGACTCCGGAAGGCTTGGAGGGTGAGGTTGGCTGTAAGGGCAAGGGGAGGCTCCCTGTCACCTGGGGAAGCTAGCTGTCCCTAGGCCTTAAGCTCTTATCCCACCTAAGTGTCCCCATAGGGAACATACAAGCTCAGATTTAGGCCAAACAGGCCTGAGTCTAGATCTTAACACGGAAGCTACTTAGGAAACAAAATAGCAGATCCTTTCAGGCCCATTATTTTCTTAGAATTGAAGACGAAGGGCCTCAGCAGCCCTGCTGTAGGCTGGCAGGGAGCTGTAAGAGGTGTGTGCCTAGAGCTGGCAGGGGACCTCCACCTCTGAGCTCCTCCACAGTCCTCGAGGAAAGGAAGAAGCCAAAGGTGAGGCCTCCACAGAGGAAAGTGGGGTGGGCGGGGCCAGGTCCTGCTTTGTCAGCCAATTTCCTGGGCACCCCAAAGCATGTCTGGTCTGGGGATCTGCACCAGGTCTTCCCCAGGTAGGCCAGGCCTCTGTGGCTGCTGGCCCTGCAACCCATGTTTGGCTGAATGTCTTCTCTTGGAGTAGCTCAGTAAAATGAGCTGTTTTAGCTATTGGTCAGTCAATGGTCTCCCTTGCCTGGCCTGGCCACCTGATGGTCAGGAGGAAGGTGAGAGTCTGTGACACCTTAGTGGCACTTGGGGGAAAGGACAGCCTTTGCAAGTCAAGAGACTCTGCGGCAGATTTATCATGGGTTTTGTAGTCAGTTGGATCACAAAGCCTTGGTTATGAAGGTGAGAGAGGATCACAGCAGGAGGAAGGCTCCGTGATCTGGAGGAAGAAGATCAGAGCACCTGTGCCTTGTCAAATGACTCAATCTTGGACCTTCCAGCTGTATCTTGAAGGGTCACCAAGAGGGTCAAGTGCACCAGTAGTAATGATGGCTCTCTGTGCTCTGTAGTCCTCTGAGAACTGTGTTTTAACTCAGATGCTCATGACGACTTCATGGTGGAACCTCCATACTCACCTCCTTTTACATATGGAGAAAGTGGGGGACAGAACAGCTCATTAATTTGTCACACAGTGGAAAAGTGTCAGGACTTGAGCACAGGCAGGCTGGCTCCATCACTGTGTTTCACCTCCATGCTATCTTGCATCACATGGTGACACTGGGCGCAGACCCTGGCACACAGTAATTATAAGGGTTAGTTCCCTTCTCCCTTGGCCTTCAGTGGCAATTCTGCAGGAGTGTGACAAATAGGTTAGATGATAATCTGCAGGTACCCCTCCCCCGAGGGTCATGATCACATGTCCCAGGAGGCCCTTGGATTGGTGTATTTGGAGGAGGGGGTCTGGGAGGAGGGACAGGCCATCCTTTTGGACTTTCCCCTTCTCTGCCTGCTGGGGGTGGTTTCTGTTAATGATCAACAGAGGAAAAGGTGCCCTGGGTGTTGTGGGGAGTTGGCCCCTTGCCCTTCTCCCCACAGGGTCTCCCACCCCTGCAGGTAGCCAACCACTGAATCACGTCTGGCTGGCCTGCCCGGAATGCTAACTGAGTTCAGCAAGTGCACAGCTGGGAAGTCCCCTTTGCTACCTCGCACATGGCTGATCCATGGGATACAAAGAGCTGGGCAGCAGGGCACACCTTTCTCTTGAGCTCACTTTAGCACATGAGTCCCACTTCTTGGACAGAGCGTGGGTTACAAAGAAACCTGGCCTGAGGACCTTCGGTGTTCTTTGGAGGAGTCTCAAGCATTACATCTAAATTACTGGCATGGGAATCTAGTCTGTAAGGAGTCAGGGCAGGGGTGGCCCACAAGAGCCACTGTTGGCCAAAGGCCAGTATGTCACCTCCTCATTTGGGTTATTTGCAGTTGTTTTGAAACGTTGGCAAAGCCTCTAGTCTCAAGGTACAGGGCTGTGAGTGACGACTGTACGTGCACTATCAGCTTGGGGTATGACACAAATAAATATTGGCAATGGCCAAACCCAGGACAGTTTTCTCCCCACCTAGAGCTGCCTGTCCTGACTCCTAATTGTACCTCAAGTAAGAGGATCCCACGACCACTGAGGGCTGATGTTTCTTCTACCTCCACTACCCCAGGGTAAACAGCTGATTTTGGAGTCAGAGGGACCTGGGTTCAAGCCCCTGCTTGGCTCCAAGGTTATTCTGTGCTCTTATGCTACAGACTTAGTAAGCAGTGTAGAGTCCAGTTTCTTCATTTGCAAAATGGGATAATGACGGAGGAGATAATTACGTCCAGCTATATTGTCACAGTCATCCACTGGAACACTATAGCATTCTATAAAAGGACAAATGACTGATGTACAATGGGGATGCACTGCAAAAGCAAAGTTCACGGACAGAAATCAGCCACAGAGACCGCACATTGTGTGAGCCCATCTGTCCAAAGTCCCAAATCAGTCTGCGAGGTCAGATTTCCATGAGAAGATACAGAGTGTATGTAAAATTCACTAAGCCATTCAGGCAAGATTTGGGGACCTCACTGCACCTAAGTTACAGCTCAAAACTAACAACCTGCGGGGTTGGTGTGAGTGGTCAGATAATATTCATAAGGACAGAGAAAGAAATTCAGTTCCTGGCCCTTTACAGGAATTTAAACTGTGGCTGTTTTTCACCACGGCAACAGCTGGAGGGTAGGGATGGTCCCTATTCTTAAAAGGAGAGAGTGGGCTCAGAGTAGGCGACTGATTTGCCTCAGCTGTGGGATTTCCGTATCGAGAGGTGGATACCTGCACAGTTCCCACTACCATGGACTGCCCCTTATGAGCATGGGTTGCTTCCGCAGCAAAGTGAAATCCACAGTAATCAGGGTGCACATGAGTTAATCAT